CATCGTTATTACTAAAATTTAGTACCGTCACCTATTAGACAGTAATTAGGAGGCGAAGACACAGAAAAAACTTTATTCTGTCAAATATCAGTTAATAACTTTAAAAAAAATTTGCTTATTAAAGAAAAAAGACACTATAAATTTTGTTTTCTCAGCTATTTTTCATTTTTAATCTTTATCTTCAAATTCCACTTTATTTTGATTTTGATGACGACTGTTGGCTAAACTAACAGCTTTACTGTCTATGAGAAAAAATAGAAAAAAAAAAAAAAACAAAAACAAAAACAATTAAAAGAAAAAAAAGATTTGTAAAAATAAAACTGAATTGTTTTTTTCTTTTTTGTACTTTAACAAATGATTAGTGTTTTCTCAACGTTGCTCTTAAGTATTTTTTAAAGTAGCCGACAATGATGAATCAAACTTTTTGCCTAAATCTTCTCCTCTATCTTCAACTCATTTTTCCTGTCTTAATCCTTCACACTGACTTAGCAAAATTATTGCTGACTTTTGTCTATGAATCATTAGTTTGTTGCTAAACAACAACTGTAACAACGGGAGGGGCAATAGTGATGCCAATAGATTAACATCAAAGAAGATTCAAGAGAAGCAATTAAACATTTTAATTTACTATCTTTTATAAAAACGTATACTTACACACACCTAATAAACAATAAACATAAAAAACTGTCAGTTTTAGCAATTTTGGTGTTTCTTTTCTTGTTTTTTTTTTGTAAAAAACAAAAAAACAGTAGAAGAGATAAATAATTATACGGTTTTTGTTCAATACGTTTCTGCATTATTTTTTTAACAACTAAAAGTTGACTTATCTTACACAGTATCAAGTGTCTGTGCATTTTTTTCCCTTGTCTTTCTGTTAAATTTTATTCTAATCACTTATTGATACTCAAATAACTCTTTATTTGCAGTTTTAAAATTAAATAATTAAGTGGACGAAGGGGGAAAAAACTTCTTCGAAAACAAATAACCAAACAACTGAGCAGCAACATATTAGCCCTTAGACAAATATCAACAGCACTGAACAACATCAGAACGAACAATCGATGGTTTTAAAGTCTTAAATTAATTGCCTCTGCTTCAACTCTCCCAAAATTATCGATAACCTTTTACAACAAAAACAACAAGAGCAACAAAAATAAAAAAAAAAAAAAAAGAACAAGACAGTTTAGCAATAATAAACTAAAAAAAGCAGAAATTCAGTACAATATCAATGGAGGTCAATCTAAAAATTATTAGGTTGAATTAAAAATTCTAAAACATAAGGCTTTTTCAAATTATTAATAGTACATTAAAAAAAAAAAAAGCATTTTTTTTTTTT